CTTTATTCTTACCTTCCCTTGCCTGCCTTATCTTTAGACCTGCTCCGAATGAGTGAATGAAGACAATGAATTTGTGAATGGGAATTCAGCATACATTTCAAGAACATAAGCTCTGGCTTCCACCATCAGAAAGGTGACCAGCAGTCGCTGGGTGGTTGCACACTTTGCGTCCCAAGAAGAGGGAGGGACACCCGCCCTGGAAGATATATAAGAAACCACAGCAAGGAGTGGTGTGGGGGATGGCACTGCAAATAAAGACCAACAAGAATAATTTAAAAAGAGAGAGAGAGGGAGAGAGAGAGAGAGAATGTGTAGAAAATGACCAGTAGACAGAAAGATACTGTTGCTTTGACTAATCTCGTCAATGCCTGCAAAAAGAAGCAGCCATCCATTCCACATTCATGCATTCACTAAATCCCAAGTGTTCTGAAGACTCAAGGTAATGAGCTACTTAAACGAGGGGAAAGGGAAGAAAATCCTAGAATACACCCAGCCTTGTTAGGCATGTATCAGACTCCCCTTCACCAAGCCTGGATGCATAATGGCTTCTTGGCCAGATAGACAGAAATATGTGGAGTACAGTGAGGTTAGCCAGGAGTTCCACAACTGGAGCTTCCGGGAGAAGTCTGAGCGTTCATTGGGGCTCTTAATCTTCCTTCTACTTTGGCTGCACTATTATTAGTTTCATTTTCACCCGACTTACAGCTAGCACCATGCATTCCTAGCTCCCCAAACATCAGAACGAACATTGGTGACTTGTAGAGATGCAAGAACTAGGCTTAGAGTGACGGAGAGACTTCCTGAACCACCATGGTTCTGATTTAGAAAGATACAAATATCTCTCTTCCACTCTTTTTGCACACTTTTCTCCAAGGCTGGTTGTTGTTGTCATTTGCCATCAGTTTTCAAGGTAAGTAAAGTATTCGAGGAACAGTTTTAACAATTCCACTCCCTGCAATCTAAGTTTCCATGGCAGAGCTGAAGAATCAAATCCAGGTCTTCTGATTCATTACTTTATCTATGGCACTATACTGAGTGCACCTATTCTTAGTGTTCTCACAATCCTGATAAAGATGCAGATGCTACCACCTGCCAGGTGTTTTCATCATCACCATCATTCAACAACAATGTCCCTTCCAGATACAAAATGCATCTCATTCTGCCATATGGGTATTACATGATGTGAACATGTGAGTTTCTGACTCATTGGAAGTCCTACTTTTCCAACAGAGCAGGATGTACAGATCAGATCTGAGTAGACCTCGAATTTTTAGTGATTCATATTTTCTGACACTGCAGCTGATGATGAGATGGCACTATTTTGGGAGGCACATTTCTGATCACGGTGGCAGTTTGCATGACACCGATACAAGGGAGCCTCATACAAAGCTAAAACTAAAGGTTGTGGTTAGCTCATTATTTTAGCAGAGAAGATGGTTCTCTAAAAAGCCAAGCCAGGAAATTCTAGTGAATAGAATATTAACACTAGAAACAAAGCTCATATGGGTAGCATGTAAGGATAATTGTGCTATATATATTTAATGAGGATAAGGATGATTTTTGCACTTGATTTCTGCCTAAGAGTAATAGCTGTATGGGATTGCACTAGGCTTTTGTGCACTTTGGTTACTGTATATCAGGGTTGGGAGCGCAATGTTCCTCCATTTGTTTCAGACTTCAGATTCTAGAAGCCTCACCTAGCATGGCCAGTGGTAAGGAACTATAGAAGTTATGGTGCAAAACATCTCAAAGCCAACCATATTTGACCACCTTTTCCTTGGACCAGTATTGCTGTACTTATCCAAGAAAACCAGTCACTTGCTTGCTTGTTTGCTTGTTTATTCCATCTAATAGTATACAACTAGCAGTTTCCAATATATGACAGAAACGTAAAAATCCTACCTGTCCACCCCTCTGAGCAGTTTCCAATATATGGCAGAAACGTAAAAATCCTACCTGTCCACCCATGCCACCACAGTGTAAAAGCAAGCCCACAAAGAGGGTGATAACAAACTCCAAAGCGCAATTAACATATGAATGCAATTAACAACAGTTATAAAGGGAAGATGTTCTGAAATGCATCTCTAAAAAATCCAACTCCTTTTTATATACTTTTTAAATATTGGGAGCGAATGGTCTTGGTGCAGCACCACTGAGCAATGCATTCAACAAGGAAGTAGCCACCACTGAGAAGGCCTGGTTCCTAGTCATAGACTTCCTGGCCTCGCTCAGGGTGGCCACCTGTGTCAAAGCCTGCAGCAATAAAACCTGCCAGAAGCCTGTTGCTGAAATCTGGCCTTTGATCCAGTAGTGTTTATGGCCCGAGCAGAACTGAGAACTTATACAAAAAATATATATGAGTTTTGAAACATAGAATTCTGTACATCATGTTTGAAATTAATAAAATGTGTATGATTGCACCCGTTACACATTGACAATTCAGAGAAGCTTTCCTCCATTGAAAGTCTAGCCAGTGAAGCACAGATTAGGAGGCAGAGTTCTTCACGAGCAAACTTTGGGGTTGGGGGAAAGGATGGAGAAAAAAAGTCTCAATTCACAAAATTCACAGATGCTTGTCTGAGTTCTCTCAGCATAGTCCAAACCATCTCCTTTCCTCTTTTGTTCACAAAGGAGATCTCGTTATGTCGTACAGGAGAAAAGAAAAGCCTTCTTACAAGCAAGAAATGGCAAATTCTGAGATACATATTCATACGTATAAACATGCATTATAAGGAATCACAGAATTCATTTTAGGGACTCCAGAGGAGGAAAGAAAGGCCTGGGGAAGTAAACGAGTAACCAACTAGCCTACACATACATAAGGGGGTCCTTTCTCCTCCTTTGAAAATATCTCTTACTTATTTGCTTTCGTTGGAGAGCCCAAACTGGCTATTTATCTCAAGGTCTAAATTGCTTTTCTCTGGCATTAGCTACAATCAGCTGTCTCCCCTGCAGTGTTTTGGGTTTTGCTTCATTGCTTTCACACACTGGCAAGCATTTTACTGTAATAAAGGCAGAGACAGAATGTTGTGGAAGGAGTTGTTCCCAGGAGGGAGGGAGACCTGTTCACAGCCAAAGTGTTTGTGATTAGATAGATAGATAGATAGATAGATAGATAGATAGATAGATAGATAGATAGATAGATAGATAGATAGATAGATAGATAGATAGATAGATAGATAGATAGATAGATAGATAGATAGATAGA